TGAAAGGGCGAGCATGTTTGGTGTGACGGGGATATCTACTTTGGAGCTGTCTGAATGTGAAACAATATCGGGGATCGATGTCCCCTCTTGTGTTTCATAAGACTTATTCCCGCAGACTAAGTTTTTCTTAATCTAAATAATTCTTATTAATGAGATAGATTGTATTTAGAAAATGGTTGTCTTGGTTTCTAGAGGGTGATAACTAACTGCTGGAATATAATACATTTGATTCACCTTAGTCAGATATCAAATTGTACTTAGCGTGGCCTAATGGTTAGCATACTGGATTGTGATTCCGAGAGCCGTTGGTTCACGTGTCGTTCTCACAAAAAGAATCGCGTCTTACACTGTGCGGCTGTGGGTGTGTTATAAGATTGACAGTCAAATCTCACTATTTGATTAAAGTAGCCCAAGAGTTTGAGGGAAGGGGGTGTTGTTGACTAGCTGCTTACGCTTTAATTTGCCAGTTCAAAATTAGATGCGATTAGCGCAGGTAGCCCTTGTATAGCTTTGCGCGAATATTCGAAACAAATAAGCAATATGAACATAATTGTTAATCCTTTGGATTTCTCGCAGTCCATGCATACTGTTGACGGTGGTAAGTCTCAAAATAACATACACCAAAAATCAAAGACCTGGGATACTATTTTACGTTAAGAATGTGTTCTAACAACATATAGAAAACTGAGTTACTCATTTCTCAGTCACTTATTTTTCGACATTTTGTCGAAATTAATTTAAAAAAAAACATTTCAAATATAAAGACTCGAGAGATTTACACAAAGTGTGTTTATCAGGCTTAATACACCATCAGTTTCGTCAATGTTAAACGATTTGGGGTTAAGTAGTTTTAGAATGGTGTTAGTCGAATGTGAAGGTAACATACAGTTAATAGATTTAGCTCTATAGGGTTTTGAGTCCGTTTTAATTCAACTATATAGTAACCTAAATTAAATCAATTTAGGTATGTGAATGATGTTATAACATTTTGTGAAAAATAAAATAAATGTTTAAAATATGCAATCATTAAACAGATCCAGCTCTGCTTCTTTGGGACTTTTTTGTCAAAATCCTAATTTAAGGATATTCCAAGGTAAGCACGTTTACAGCATTGGTTTTAAAAAAAAAACATGTTTTGAAGTGCATTAAAGCCTTAATTACGTACAACACATGTCAGAATACGATGACGTAATGATCAAAGAGGTCGTGATGTGTGAACACGTTTCATAAAAAAAAGCTAATTTAGATTATACAACAACCCTTACGTCATTTTTCTTCTTACAACAGTATTAACTTTTAAGTAAATTGTATTAAGAAGAAAGAAGTTAATGATGTCAGATCTGATAAGCAGGATTTTCTTTTTCTGATTTTGTTTTTTCGCTATTTTTTGTAATTAATAATAATTTCATTTTGTAGGTCAATATTTTCTCCACTGCTATATACTTCAATTTGTTAATTGTATAAGTCACACACGATTACTAATTCTAACCACTTGATCATTTACTCGACGTTACAGATCATGCGTTATAATGATAACCTGCTGATATATAATAATGTTCTAAAAAGAGTGCATGTGAATCCAACGATGAACTTCTGGAAGATTTCTAAAGGTCATCAGTGACAACCTAT